AACTATCTCGTATGAATAGACCATTGAAGGGTCGTAACACGGATATTAGATTAGTTAAATGGTTCTTGATATCAAATCTGTGTTGTCAATTTATATACATGCCCAGAACAACAATTGCAGGTCAAAATCTTTCTTTCGCACTAAGACTGCCGGTCGAGAATTGTGTGTTCAGTGTTCATTTTACTTGTTCCCATGGTGACATTGTTGGGCATGAAATAAGTTATAGCATCCTCGATCATCCGCACCGGTGCGCACCGGGGCACTGAGGTGCGCCCCTTCATCTTCGATCAAGTGCACCGGTGCGCACCGGACGTCCTCGATCAACGAAGCGCACCCTCCCGGTGCGGCTTTTCGTTGCCCCAACGCGCACCAAGAAAATCGGCGGTGCGCCGGGGGGCAGTCCCATCAGGCATTGCGGCCAGGAGCGGGAATCGAGAAGATGGCGGGAGTAGCAGACGCGCAGACTATCGAGATGGCGATCTTGCAAAAACGAACACGCCTCGCAGCTGCACTAGATAACTCCTCGGGTCTTCTGACGTCGAGACGACGAGCTTCTCACCATCGCCGCGATTACTGGCGATTGGTGCGGTGGCAAGGAGCGCCCGAGAAGCACGAACTTCGTGGAAAGCGGCGCGAGGCGTTTCGATGACAGCGAGGTACGGCTATTATCTGGTGTTTCGTTTTCTTGAACCAATAATGATGGCCAACATATACATATGGAATTGTCACCCCCTTCGTGACCCCATCGACAGTCACGTCCACAATGTTTATTTCTGTGGGACCGTCAAATCCGCGAGTAAAACAATAGAAAAAATTGACAGCAGACGGGCACCGTGCGCTGACCTATGCAAGAAAAAACGAACAAAACGCGAAGTGACGCAAGGTGGAGCTCGCCGCGGTGCACCGGCGCGGCGCAGTTTGTCCTCGATGTTGCACCGACATCGCACTGCACGACCGAGGAGCGCTGTGCACTGTGCTGGTTTCAGGGCGATCCTGGTGCGAGTTGATCGAAGATGCTATTAGAGGTTGTAGGCAATCAGAGGCCCATGTTCATAATTGAATATACATATTTAGATTTATAGAACATACTTTTACTTAAGTTAACAGGCAGGCGAGCTGGTTAAGGATAGACGTGGTTACCCGGGAACATGGGGAAAAAAAGGGACAGAAAGACACAAAGCTCTGGAGCTTCGTGTCTTTCCGTTCCTTTTTGTCCCCTGCTCCAAGGTCTATAATTTTCATAAACACTGAAATGCAAGGAACACACTGTTGCAAGCAAACTTTAAGTGCATAGTTGTGGAAAGTCACACTAGGTCTTTTCGATTTGCTTGAACTGGCCGATCTAGTTCAAATAGTGTAAGAACTGACTCATTAGATTCAACCCGAAGTTGCATGGACGCTGAACTGGCCTGTTAGATTTATTCCAGTGCTGCACGAGCTCAGCCTCAGTTCCACAGAATCTTGCGCTGGCCGAAGTCAGTTCAGCGTTCATGCGGTAACAGATGGCAACTCTTCTGTCTTTCGGAAACCAATTACAGGGTCGTTTGTAACGCTGCAGCTTAAGTTCACGCAGCCGCAGCCCGACTTGCGCACTGCTTCTGCACTCCTCTGAACTCGGTCTGAACTGGTTCAAAACTTTCGGGCCGAATCATGCATGCCTGCTGTTTTAAGCAGACTGCGTAATCGTAAGAAGTTACTCTTGGGGTCTACATGGTATCACAAGATATTAACAAAGCATAAATTGTAGCGGAAATTGCTTACTTATAATTGCAGGAAGTAAAATATTAAATTTTTCAGGGAACTGTAGATATACATGACTTATTGTTGTATTCTTTTCCCCTGCAGATGCCTTCAACGAGTACCTATGGAGGCATCCTCGAGAGGCCTCTCCAGGGAAGAGGACAGCTCGGGTGAATCTACTGCAGTATGCAAATTTGTTAATATCCTACTGCAGGATATTAACTAGAAGTTTGACTTCTAAGCTTGCTTAGAGGTTAAGCTTCTTGTTGGTGTTCTGCAGATGCCAATTTGCGTTCTCTAAATACACGTATAACCTGAAATGACCTGGCTCATGCTCATTCTTTGCATGACAAATGCATGCGAATTGTTAAACCTGCAAAGATCCATCCATCCGTTTGCAAACGTTGGACACCATGTTGATTCCTATTACTGCGTCAGAAGGGATAAACCTTTAAAGATATAGGTTTCTCTATCTGAACAGATGAACATGCATAAATATTGGTTCCTATATCTAAATGGGTCAACCTGTAAGGTACGGGTTCCTATATCTAAACGGGTCGACCCGTATAGGCACGGTTTCCCTTACCTAAACGGGTCAACCCGTACCGGTACGGGCCCCGTATCTGAACGGGTTCCTGTATCTGAATGGGTCAACCTGTACAGGTACGGGTTCCCAGTATCATACGGGAGACCCGTATCCCATAACACCGTATGAGATATACGGGTCATCCAGTATGAATTTTTATACGGGTTTTTTCAGTAGGGAACTCCAGCTTGCCACGCAGAGCGGCTCTTGTACACGCGTGGGCTTCTGGAGCATTCTGCGTAGAAGGTTCGGCGCGTAGAACATTCTAATCTAGAATCACGAATTTCCCAGAATACTAGTCTGCAGGAATAAACAAAAAGATGCGCCGCTCCAAGGAATCGAACCCTGGTCCTTCGCGTGGGAGGCAAGCGCGATAACTGTTAGGCCACGGCCGCGTTGACTACTTGGCGCACGGCAATATTCGTAGCAAGATGGATGTCTCAGGGGTTAAAGTGTACCCTGTGCATAGGTGTTGTTTTCAAGCCGCCTCCAAGAGAATGCTTCCTCCTTGGGTAACTTTGTGAGAGCTTGTAGGTAGACCTTTCTTTCCAGTTTACAGTTTTTTTTAGGGCGCCTTCATCTGGGAGCAACATGGCTCGGGTCGGGCTGGAGGCCCGGCGAGTATAATCTCGAGCCAAAGCCCGGGCCAACTTATTCCTACCAGGTCCTCGTGCCCAGCGGCCCAGACTATTTGGATTTTCGGAAGCTCTCTTTTTTCTATGAGGAACTGAAGAGCCGTAGCCGCTACTCTCCATCTCTGAGAATATTTACAGGCTGCTTGTCCAAATCGTCTTAGCCTCCAGAGCGATAGCCGCTTTTTCCGCCGCTTGTCACTTGCATCCCAACTGTTGCAGATGCCAGCTCTTTTCCGCTACCGTCAACCGATCACACAGTATATGCTCCTTTTTCTATATACGTGGTTGCATTGGTGTATGTTGCGGACTCCAGTTTCACCTCGTAAGGCTTCTTGTGTGTTTCCACCCCGGCTCTCCTCCGCTCTTTGTTCTTTTCCGGATGCATATTTCTCAGGGTAGGCGCCACCCCTATCTTGTTTCTTAGGTCCAACAGGATCCATGGTTTGTCCCTTGTCTCACCCTCGTTACTGTAGCTTAGCTTCTAGAACGTGGCTCTGCACGCGGCCGTGAGGTTCAGTCTTTCCAGTAGCGTGTTTTGTGGGTTTTTACCATCTTTTCCCGCAGGTCATCGACCCCAAGTTGCACGACTCTCTTCGTCGAGGTTGTTTGAGGTAGCAGGAATGCCAGCTTGTAGGCATTTCTGTTGAGCCCATTGATCTTATTTTATTTGTGGTTTCTAAGCCACAGGTACGGAGTTCCATATGTAATCATGCTGAGCCCAAAGCTTGCAACACTTTCAGTGAGCTCTGCTCCTTGTGTACATGGTTGCATTTGGCCCCCCTCCTCACTATGTGTGTGACTAAGGAGGCGGTACCCTTCAGCCACTGCTCTGTGGTTGTTCCCGATTCATGTCCTTGGATATTCAACCCCAGTACCCTGATCGCATTGACCTTCGCGATGGCGAATCCTTTGAGAGTATGCTCTAAATCCCGCTGGTTCGGAAGGCACATTTCTCTTGGTCGTTTCGTCAGGATTAGCAGCTCTGAAGTCTCCGGAGCGTACACCGGACCTCAGTCCCACCGGTATGCCTCATTCCTGTACACCCCCTCCTGCGAAACGTCCTGCTTCGTTCCTGCTGAGTCGGCTATTGTCTAAACCTTAAAATCATCCGCACAGATATGGTTATTGAATCCTCACATAGCCTTCGGCCCCTGCGGTAGGCCCTCATTGCCAGGTACAAAACGAGATGTACAATCATTTACACCTGAGGATTCCCTCCATACGGGAAATTCAAATTATTTTTTCTTACAGTCGGTCTCCACTCCCAACGTGGACGTCTGGTCTTCCAGAGGGTTCGTAGATAATATTACGCGTTCATTCCACAACCAGCCTATGCAGGCTAGTCAGTACCACCGTGTGTAAAACATTGCTCGGGTCGCCTTTCACATGCATGACGAGGAATGTGCTGTTGCTTCTAGGGCTTAAGTTCTTGATGGCATTCTCCTTCAACTGCTGTAGGATATCTTGCGTCGACAGATGTGGTCTGAAGCCGTACATTGTACTTGGAAAGTTGTCTTCTCTCTTCCTGATTGGGTGTCAGTCCGTTAAGCATCATGTGCGCGACCAGGTTTCCCACGTGGACTTCAGTGATATCGGTCTCATATTCAGAATGGTGATTGTCTTTTCTGTCTTGGGCATTATCTCTACATCTGCACATTTCCAGACGGGCAGAATCCTCCCCGTACCACATCAAGGTTCATGAAAGTCTCGTTCTTTATTCGATGTCTCCTGGTACCGTTTTTCTCGTCAACCGTCCCAGAGAATCTTCCATTTCAACTCTGGTGAACCATTTTTCCAGCTCTGGGTTGTGTTCTCCCTCGTAATTCGGGTAGATGGTCGTGCCTTGTAAGGGATGCTCTCCAAAGATATTTGCTTTCTCCGCCTCCATCATCTCCTTACTCTTCTCCAGGAAGTTGTGGATGAATTTCTGGATCTGCTGTCGCAGGTTTGCCTTGGGCTCCGTCCTGTTCAGCAGGGGTCTGAGGATTCTCCAGGTTCTCATGTTGCTCAAGGCTCTCAGCAGCTGATTGCACACTCCGTTACAGTTTTGCTTCCCATTTTTCGGCGTACACCTCCGCCTGCCTTATGATCTGCGCGATATTGGCCTTCAGTTTTCGATTAATTTTCTCAACCTCCGCCTTCTTAGCAGCCCTTGTTTTGCCTCGTAGAGGTGAAGCATCTGAGGATCCACCTCTGGGTTGCCAGTAGTGAGCTGGATTGGAGAACAAATAGGCGGTCGGAAAAAGTATTTCAGCTCTTGAACACATTTTTCTATCAGAAAACTTGGTCCACATAATACTAGATACGAAACATGGACCTAATTTGGCTAAAAGTTGTATCACCTGATAAAATAAACATTCGTTTCCGCTTATCTTTATTTTCAGCAATAGTACCCATTAGACAACCAATTTGCTTCCCTAATGGGTGATTAAAACGGTGTCTTGCGTCTTTCGGCGGAAAAGGTTACATACCTATAGTTTTATAACAAATGCAACCTATGTACATAAAGAGCGGGCACCGAATAGTCTGTCTTAGTGCAATTAAGTGGCCTGAATATTTTTCAAGCAATTAAATAATTACATACAATGTAGGACAGTAAAGTCACACTAATATTTTTCCGCCGTATTATCGGCATTCCCCTCCTAACTGTATATATTTAAAAATTTTCACCCTTTCAACAACGAAATGTAGCTGTTTAGGTACATGTGCCCAATCTTAACTCTGCAAGAAAAACGCAGACATTACTGCCAGTTTTACACTGACGGTGCCAAGTCCTCAATGCACGTCGGCTCTGCTTTTTATTCAAATTTGTTTACCCATGTTACTCGACTTAACAATGTTGCCAGCATTTTTACGGCCGAACGTTATGTTCTTTTGGCAGCGCTCTTCTATATAATGAGGAGCAAAGTGATAAAAGCCATTCTTTTTGTATGTTCTCAAAGCGTTCTTAGTGCAGTATGTTCCGTTACACCAACCACAAATAACTTAACTCAACTTGTACGGGCCAAGGCTCTACAGGGACTCGCTGGTGGGTGTTACATTAAGTTTTGCTAGATCCTAGGCCATGTGGGCATGGCAGACAACGAGACTGGACATAGACTAGCCGCCTTTTCAGAGAAACTTTTACCATCGAATATCTGCATGCCTTACCAAGGTCTTAAAATGTTCGCACGATTTTCACTTTCACGGCTATGGCAATCTCAATGGAAGATAGCCGACAATATTAAGCTTCATACCATCAAACCTGAACTTGGTACATGGGAAACCTCCTATAATAAAATTGTTTTCATGAAGCCCTTCTGTGCCGCTGGAGAATCGGCCACTAGTTCATTACTCATCAACACCTGATATAGGGGAGGAGCCGCCGTTACATGAGCACTGTTCAGAAACGTGATGTTTTCTACATGTTTTCTTTCATTGCCATGGCCTTCTACAACAATACATGACATTTTTTCGTTAATTTTCAAAGTGCAACATCCCAGTTCACCCTGTCTTGGTTCTAATGGAGCAGCCTACAATATCATTTGCACGTCTTTTAGCTTTTCTCAAAACTACAAGTGTTTTACACAAACTATAGCCGAGCTCTAGTGTGGTCCTACAGTACTTTTACGAAAATATTTCTAGCCTACCTAGTTTAGTGCAGTTTGGCCGTGGGGCTCTTGCGCCGTAAAATCCGCAAACAACAAGAATACATGTGCCCAACATCTCCTAATATACAGCATACCGGTCTCACTCAGGTTTGATGAAGCTCCAACTGCTCAGGTAGCACGGAGACCTGGAGTAAATTGTGGATTTCGACTGAGATTATTGGGCCTTGACAAGCCCTTATAAGCCAAAGTACAGCCAAATCAGACCTAGTTTGGCAAGTGTCTGGTTATTACTGGTTGTTTTCTGGTTATCGACAAAGTTGTGTAAGGATTAGTCTTTACCTGTTTTTGCGTTTTCTTCTTTTCCAAAGAAATATAGAAGGATGGAATATGTTGGCTATCGAAGGATGTGTTTAACGTTTAAGTTTGTATTTCGATGTTTTTAGAATCTTACGTATGGCATGTACACCCCCTGCTATGATGCAGAAAGGCGATGCAGGTCTCTATGTAAATAAATAAATAAATAACCAACATTCGTACTAGGGACCACAAATACTGGCTAAAAAATCAAAGCTGGCTCATAAACAGTTCCGACCGTGCGTGGCGCGTTGACAAAAACACCATGACAAGTCACTGCTTCGTAACAAAACCTCCTTTTTTTTGTTATTTTCTTTTCCTTTTTTAAGCATGCACCCCTCAGCTGAGAGTGTGGTGGATGCTAGTAGCTCACCCGACCAATAAACCGCCTCCCATTCGTTTCTTGACTCCGCCTTTTTCCAATGGTTATAAGCAGGAGAGCGCGAGCACGTCGTGAAACATAGACGTACGGCTGGCGAAAGAGTACGTAGCTTCCATTGCACTTTAAGCTTAGGGGTGCGGTTAATATGGCTGGGGATTTCGAGGACCGTCACAAACTATAGTCTCAACAAAGCGCTTATTTCGATTTTTATTTTTTTTTAATAAGGCGGGATGTCTTCGAGGTCACTGGTATGAATGTCCATTTCATACTTACTTTCCATACCGGAAAACCAAGTGTAATGTCGTTTCACTATATTGATTATGAAAATGAAAAATGAACTGCAGTTATCTTTTGAAATATTAAATTAAGAATGCAGACACAGGAATAATTTCTGAAAACCTGAAATCAATCCCAATAAAATCCAGATAGATTTACAGTTTCATAATCCACATGATGAAACGTTATACTCTTTCTATTATTCGGTAGGTTTGATTTACTTCTTCTCAACTGTCCTCAGTCCCGTCAGAGGACAGTTAGGAAACCATTTGCTATTGATTTGATATCCGCCTAAAAGCGGAGCATTCATAAAATGACGCTAGGGTAATATACCGCGTGGCATCGAACTGGCTCCTGATAGGAAATCGCGGCTCTTATATGTTTTACTATAGTTCACCACAAGGCGATAATTGACATGGATAATTCCTGTACGCCAGTGCACATTGAAATATATCAAACAAAACCGCTTGGTTAGTTTTTACATATATTGATAACCCAATTTCATAAACTCCACTTGAGCACAGTCACCGACCTGGTAGATATTATATATTCAGAAAATAACTACTACTACAACTACCAACAGAAATAGTGCGTGTTATTGGAATATTACTGCTACAGCTAATAACAAAATATTAATAAATAAACTATGATAGGCGTTACTTGTGCAAACAAACATTGACAGTTTTCACTAGGGTGCAGTAAAAAGTAGTAAAATGTCTTATGACAAGTGTTTGAGCATGTGTACTTTCGAAATATTTGAAACAAATGTGCAGATACGGCCATTTGTCTATGCTCAGAACATCCAATAGCAAACACAGCCGTTCAAGAGGTCACATGTACGCTTACTACACAAGTAAGATTTACACTTTCGCAACTCAACAATCATGTGTTTCTTAACCTTTTTATTAATATTTAACGTTAATCATACGAACCAAACAGTAATCATTGTGCTGAGTATTTGCAGTTTGTTCGTATTCCTAATTAGTTGTGCGCGTTCACTGGAGCATATTAAGCCTGTACAAAGGGATTTGATATACCGTTACGCCACTGCGGAGTGAAAAACAGCTACTGAATTCCTTGTGATTGCCTGAAGCTGAGCAGGTTGGTTATTCATGCTTGTAGATACGCCAGCTGAACGGAGGAAGAAAAATGCAAAAACAAAGAGTCGCAAGGAACATACACACGCACTCCGCTGGACTAACAACCATTTACTGAATGCCATCTTTTTCTTCGTCGACTTACATTTAATGGATACCTCTCCTCTTTCGTCGATTTTAATTATCGCCTATATGAAATATTTGTCACTCGTCTTCATCACATCCTTTTTGAAAAACCTTGCATCTCCAGGGATAACGTCTCCTGTGGGCTCATGCCGGCTATTTTACACAGGGGGTGTTTCCTGCAAATACTTCTTTTCTTTTGCATGTACCACAATAGAGGCAGTGCTTACGCAATCTTCTTTCTTCTCCTCAATGGCTAGGGATTCTAGAATTTCCCTTGCAGTCTGTTTTTGTGTGTAGCCATGATGGTTATGTTTGAGAAAAAGGGAGCACATTGGCATTCGCGACAATGCGCTGGAAGATGGCCCCCTGCTGCAATTGTGCGCACGGAGGCGGCGTGTTCTCTGATGCGGTCATTGACACAGCGCCCAGTTTGTCCGATGTAACATTTCCCACATGACAGCGGAATGTGGTAAACAACAGCGCTTTCACATGGGGAATATTGAGCCCTGTGAACGGTGCCGCACGTGTTCTTTTCGTTGTTGTCGGCCTCACTGTTAACCTTGCGGCCCATGGCATATGCCTTGTTGGGAGCTGAGAAAACGACTTGTATTTCATGTCGGCCAGCGATCTTTTTCAGGCGATGTGTAACCCCGTGGACATATGGCAACACAACTGGAGGATTAGGAGGCTTCTTTTTTGGTGTTTGTGCAGTCTCCCTTGGTTTGCGTCGTATTTGCTTGCAAATACTTTCACACACAGGTACGAGGAGTGCGCTCGTGTATCCGGTGTCTTGAAGCCTAGAGATTTGTGTTTGGAAACTGCGTTCGAGCCTATGGCGTCAAGATTTCTGTAGTGCCGCGACAAGAGCTGTAGTAGCCAATCCTCGTTTAACAGTTTTTGAATGTTCGGAATCACTCGAAAGAAATCCCTTGCAAGATCTAGCTTGATACATCCAGCATACGTGTGTGCTTGTGAACTTTAAGGAGAGATCGAGAAATCGAATACACCGGTTTACAGGAAGTTCATGGGTGAAGGAAAGTCCAGGGCAGCTTCGGTCAAAGCTGCGCACGGCTACTTCTAAACACCCATCACTCCTCTCGTCTACTTCAGAGTTGCACAGTATAAGAAAGTCATGTACGTATCGGAAGATGGCCTCGATGCGATGATCTTTCAGATTATCTTGAATGGTCTTCCCGCATGCTGCAAGATATATATCGCAGAGGTATGGGGCAGCTCAGGAACCTATGCAAACACCAGATTTTTGTAAATATTTCTGGCCCTGGTGAGACACAACAGTTGCCGTAAGGTAGATTCGTAGGAGCTCCAGGAAGCTGTCGAGGTTCATCCCAGCTGCGTTTTGAATGCGTTGGACGCCTTGCTCTTCGAT